AGTATGTCAAACAGCTAAAAGTAAAACACACCAGTAAAAGAGGCTTGCACTTGCCAGAACCCTATCAGTATCACTGGTATCACTTCCCATGTACTTACTAACTCTAAGTACACAAGTGGTAATGTCACACTATGTCGTGATTCATGAGTTATAACAGTCATAGACCAGAGTCTGAGTTACTCGTTGGCATAAACCTGATGTATTAAAACTACTTGTCCAATAGCACGCAAGCGTACAAAACTCAACTGCGTGCGTCAAATTTTTCCTGTGTGTAAATCGGCCTGCTTAGATGTAAATCAAGAACGTACGTTTAGATTGTATGCCAGCCCTGAACATATGTCCGAAGATACAGTATAATAGCACGTCGGCAGAACGTACTGCACCTGTGCAAAACCCATATAATGTATCGTACATAGCACTTTGACCAAACATCTCATATAAGGTTGTATTCATGCATATACTTGGTTAACACTCCACCTGTAGTTTCCAAATGTTATGTCGGAAAAGATATTGCCTGCAACAGGCAAAATTCTAATACAACGTTGACCAAAAATCCAACGAAAACTGTGAAAAATGGGGGGTTTCGCACAGGCGCAGTACGTTCTGCCGACGTGCTCAGTACAATACCCTTTGGCTTAATAGTATGTTAAAACATGCTGCTTTACACGCAGGATAAAAAATGCTGTGCACAATTTTCGTACGCTGGCATGCTTCTTACATCAGGTTTTTGCCCGCATGTATAAATCAGGGTTGCATTCCTTGGGCCAGCCAACAGGTATTGTATCTCCTGACACCCAATTCTTCCCAACAAAAGTTTTGTGTTCGGTCATTAATTATTAACACGGCAGGGACCTCCCTAAACAATGGAGCAGTGGAGCTCCTCCACCCAGTCCTTATCTCAGCTCCACCCTGTTAATTTTCAAAACTAGTGTTTTTACTTTCTTTTCCAGGGTTCTTTGGTCAAATTTACCGATATTTCGCACCCTCCTCCATTCTGTCCTAAATTTCTGGGGAGATCCCTGCACGGGAGGGAGAAGCGTTTGAGTGCTGAAGAATAGAAGTAGGTTGAGATGCCTGTTGGCACGTCAATAAAGCTGGTAGTGAGATATGGGTTTCTCATGGCCACCTATTTAGTATGCTCATTTATAGAATCTAGGCAAATGATTAGCCTCCGTAACAGGCTTATAGAACATGGGGTTTGGTGGTCTTCAGCTGTTTTCTGATAAGCCCAGTTCAACCAGGCCGGCTATGTTGTCTATATCAGAAAATGTAGCACATAAAAGCTCCCGAAGACCCTGAAGACCCCAAAACCCCCAGTTTTTGGCATGCTATGGAGGCTACCAAATGATTAATTTTCTTACAATACTGGGCTGGTTTTTGTTCTGTGTATCTACATTTGTGGCTAAAGGAAAACTCTTGCCAAGTACAGTAAATGAAGTTTTCTTACTAGACTTTAAGTTTTCTAGCAAAAGGACACATTGAACTAGTTAGTTTCAAATCTGAACCACTGTGCTACTACAGGTACTGAATCTACCATCAAAATGGTGAAAACTCCCGAACTTGCTCAAGACCAATGTTTTGTCTAATAGAAAGTTTTAAAAAGTTTCCCACCGAGATTTTCCTGAAGCCATGTGTGTGTTGTTTACACATGTTTCTTGTAAGTTTGTTGTGTCTTATTAATGCAGTGATGACAGGTTCAACATAAGATGAAGGCCATGTTGTGAAACACTGGCTGTCAACAGAACTCATGTCTGCATTGTACACATGCATGTATGTGCCTTCAGGGCTCAAATCCTTTTTTCTGCAAACCTACACTGGTGCAGGTCACATTGAAAATTACCTGCACCAGACAGATTTTACCTGCACAATTCAGAACTTAGGAAGAATGGACCATACTAAAAATGTTCAGAAAGCAAATTTTTTTTTGTTAATTCTTTTACACTTCATAGGTGTAACAGTGTAACAGTCAGTGTACAAATGTAGCAAAAAACAAACAAACAAACAAACAAACAAACTAGAGTTCCCCGATCTCATACCTTCGCCAAATGATGTTAATCTTTATGACTGACAAATTACAGATTAGATTATTCCCCCCTGATTTAAGAAATAGGAACCTAATTTTCATGAATTATATCATTTTATCACAATAAAAAGATAGTCTTATATTAACAATGCATTCTAGCATTTCCTAATAGATTATGCAAATGAGGTCCTGATTTGAATAAATTATGTTTAATGATGTTCACCTCAATTTAACTTTCAAATACCACAAGTATGAAATTCCAGGCAGTTATCATTACATAATTATAAAATTTTCTAATTAATTATGTAAATTAAGTCATTATTAACATAATGAATATCTTCCTGTGTTTCTCTCGTTGTCAATTACCAATGTCACAAGCTTCAATTGTCCTATCATGGAATGCAGATGATTTATAGAATTTCCCCATAAATTATGCAAATTACATCCATATTTGCATAATTGTCACATAATTATATTAAGCATCACGTAAGCTACCTACATACCAAAAATCACGACGATCCGTCAACTGGTTCTTGAGTTATCCCCTTTTGAATATTTTCAAGAATATATCCCTGCAGTTCCAGAGCAAGCCGCTAGGGGGCCTAAACTCACGTCACTTCTTCCCCAGCACAAGAGCTACCTACCATCCAAATTTCATCACCATAGCATGTCTAGATCATGAGATATCAAAACCGGAAGTTCAGCTGCAGTACCATAACAAGCCGCTAGGGGGTCCAAAATCTAATCATTTTGAGGTCTCATCAAGACCTACCCATCTACCAAGTGTCAAGACAATCCATCAAGGCCTTCTCAAGTTATCGTGTTGACAGACAGACACACACACACATACACGAACGCCCCTGAAAACATAACCTTCTTGGCGAAGGTAACAAACACATACACCTATATGTATACTCAGTACATGGACCAGTACAGGTTAGGTGCAGGTAGACATCAGAAATAACTGCAAAGCTCCAAGTTTACCTGCACTAACCTGCATATACCCAGTACATGGACCAGTGCAGGTTAGGTGCAGGTAGACATCAGAAATACCTGCACAGCTCCAATTTTACCTGCACTAACAAGCAATTGCAGTAGGTATCTCAAGCCTTGGACAGACATAATGATTTCCATGATCTGGGCTCATTTCTCATGATATACCTGGCACAAGAATGTCCAGAGGGGTTCTGTTATAGGTCTGAGAGATAAGGTTAGAATGTCCTTGCGGGCATGGTCCCCTGTAGCCTTCAATCTATGCCGTGATTTGTCAGTGTAACTGTTGTCTGGTAACATTGGGGCTGTGTTAGGTCAAGCATGCAGTTTATCCTGCAGTATTTTAACCTTCATTCCCTTTCTGCGATACGAGAAATCTTACAGTATAAAAGAAGTATACAAGAAAGCTAACAGTAGTAGTACCTCTACTACCCGTAGTACCCAAAGTGCCAATTATAAATTTTCATTTTATTTTTACTTGTATTTAATTTGCAGACAATGGGATAGATCTAACCAAAGAATTATTGATAAAAAATTTAGTAGTCTGCGCAGGGCTTGCAATTCCACCTGCACCTAACCTGTGCTGGTCCATGACTAGATTAATATATACATGAAGATATTTGTGTATTTTTATTTTATGAACTGATACTACCTATGAAGTATAAAAGAAATAATGGCAACAGTTTCTGATAAGTTTTTGATAGGATCCATATACATCCTAAATTCTGAGCGGTGAAGCTAGAATTTTTCTGGTGCAGGTAATTTTTCAATGCTACCTGCACTATTGCAGGTATGCATCAAAAGAGTGTTTTGAACCCTGATTATTTTACAACAGAATTATAAGTAATATAACCCAGTTTTCGGTTTCCCTTCCACAGTGACCCTCGACCGACTAACCAGCGGATCAACAAGCAGGTGCAGGGCCAGGTGCACCTCCGGATCCAGAACCTGGCCATTCTCATGAGGCACATCAAGTCCTACTACCAGGTAAGGACAACCCCACACATGACTCACCTCTCTGGGTAGCGCTGCGTATCTAAACCCACATTTAGGTTCAGGTACGGATTGAAGTCAGTTCCGGACTCGTAATTCCGGACCTAAACCCATGGCATATACAAAATTGCATGTTGGCAATGTTGTCTGGGTAAAACTGTGGCCACATAACATGGAGGCTGACACTAGATGATGCCTGATAGCAATATTTTCTTCCTTTACAGCACAGATCTTGCGATGTATGGAAAGTGTAAAATTTGCGCGTGAAAAATAAAAGTCCCTGAAATAAAGTGTATGTCAGTAAATATGCAGTACCAAATTCTTATGCAGTAAAATGTAATCCTGTGGTATAATTTTCCATTTGTGAATCAAAATTTTTTGGGAAATTTTAAGTCCCTTGGGAATAGGTTAATTTGCATATTTTCCATGAAATCTTAACATTTGAAAATCACTTGAATTTGTAAGAAATACATGGAAAAGTTACCAGTAAAGGTTTAGGATGGTAACTAAAATGTAACAATCTGAAGCTTTTCTCCATTCTAGAAGCTTGCTTTCATATTTTAGCAAATTCTTTCACGCGCAAATTTCAAATGACGGAAAGACAGAACACTTCACCCACTTCTACCAGATAAGGTATCAGTACTACTACAGTTACTACAGAGTCAGAGAGATCTGCATTGACAAATCTAACCTTTAGCTAGAAGTGTCGGTACACCATAGACTTGAGTACAGTACTTCAAGTCTTAACTTGAACAGGTAACTGCAGGTGACAGACCTTCTTAGATATTGTGCGATTTCCTGCAATCGTCAGCTGTATTGGATCAGTGGCCACTACAGATCTGTTGACCCCATTCCCCACTGTACTTAGTCCCTATTTGTTTGTTTAGGGATACATACCAAATCGGTGATAAGGATATGGTAATAGTCTTTAGTCTCTAGTATTAGCATACTGCATTCACAAGTTAGCTTGGAAAATGATTGAATTAAGACCTTTATTGTACACACATACCCACTGGGTTAAGTACAGGTCATAGCAAAGATATAGTTTGCATATCACTTCGCATATAAAATTTTACGTAGAATTCAGTTAGAATATATTATATTTGTGATAGACTTTAACCAAGAGTTGTATTTGTTCCGCATATCAGAAACAACCAAAACGATTATAACAGCAGTAAAATTTTCAGTAGCAGTAAAATTTCATATATCTGTGAAATATGTGTACCGACGTATAATATAAGGACTTAAAATGACTTAAAACAAAGGTTCAAACAAACAATATTTAATATTACACACAGTTTTTGTGACAGAATATGTAAAATTATAACCTAAGAGAAAAGCAATTTTCAAGAGCCTGAAGAGGCTGGGTGAGAAAAAAATAAATTCTGTTGAGTGTTGAATCAGAAAGAGAAACAAACAGATGCTTATGATGTTAACCAAAACATCCTGGTTGGCTTTGCAGAATGGTCCCTGTGTTTATAGTACGTTTGTTTAGGTACAAAAAAACATTGCTGAAGGTTACATTGCAAAAGTTCTGGCACACAAATTTCTCACGGAAAATATAAAAAGAATTTAAAGGGCACCCAAAACAATTTTAAGGGCAGTAAAATTGGATTTTCAAAGTCATTTTTTTAGTGGAGTAAGTTGAATATACGATAGCATACAGATATCTGGGAGGTCATACCATAGGCTGGTTCTAGCAATTTATTGGTGGTACCTAAAAATAAAAGGGACTCCTCATGTAGCTTGTTTTGGGGCTATTTCAAATACTTTAAGTATGACATGGCAGTTGCTGTCAATATGAGACAGATTAATATTTTCTTCAGAGTATTTTTTGTTTTGACAGAAGCTGGTGTGTTACACCAAGGGGCAGTTATACCGGCTATATACAGATATAGATACAGATACAGAAGTTGGATGCTCATCTCTAAAGGATTGTTGTGATGTTGTCTGGCATCTGTTATCTGGTGTCAAACCATGCCAGGACTGAGCCCTGGCAAACACAAGTATCCTACTGTAGGGAATTCCTGCTCAATTAGGCGTGTCCCTCTCTGAGCTGTACATCCTTGCTTCAGGGTGGCTCCTACCTTGAAACAAGAGTGTAAACCACACATGAAAGGGCTTGTGTATTATGATATTATTGTAGACTGTCATATTACGTATATGTGCTGTTCTGATGCAGATCTGATATTCCTTTGTCAGGGCTCGAAATACTGGGTGCATGTGAACCTTAGTGCACCCAAAATTGGAGCTGAGTCCATTCCCTCATACCAACTCAAAAGTAAATGCATTTACAATACAAATTTGCAGGAAACTTTTTATAACTACAGACTACACATATGGGATGTCCAGTTTGGAGAGGGGTATGTGTCCAATGTTCTTGTCCACATACCAGGACAGGGCCTGGCATGGCCTGAATCCTGGCTGACCATTACTGTCCTGAGTGATTCTTGGGTGTCTTCCAAAAGGAACCAATCCTTCAGCACCTTCTCTGGTTTGACTTATGATAGCCTTTTGAACCAGAGGTCTGCCACTATTTCTAGTGGTAACATTTATTATGGAATTGGCCACGATATCTTTCATCCAATTGAATTGGTATTTTGAATATGCAACACATGTTCATGATCACCAGCTTTGTACAATATAACATAGCATAATACTGAGATGATTATCATGATACATGTAGCAGATACATCTTGTTTAAATACAATACACAATATAAGTTAACCTTGATATAAGCAATGTGTACAAAAATACCATATAGAGTCAATTCCGCGTCACCGAGTGGGTTGTTATTGTCATTATTTAGAAATGTTTTGAATTCTTTGTAATTTTTTGTCTAAGAAATTTCATAATTTGGAAATATTTTGAACATCTTGTCAATATTCTAAATAATTCCCTGGTTTTCTAAAACGTTTGAAATATTCCTGATGTGGATTATGACATTTCCAATAGTTTCTAAATATTTCTAACAGCACTCTACCATTTTTTACCATTATTTCGAATTATTTCTAACATTTTGCAAATAGGTCAGTGGGATGGGAAGGAAGTAATTCACACATCCCTGTGAAGTACAGGGCGGACTGCCTGAGTGTCAGGCATTGATGCCTTACAACAAAAGAGCCACCAGTGTCCAGCAGTGAAATCTAAAAATATACAGAAGAAGACAGAAGAGTAGGATTAGCACCTACTTTTATGGGGGCAATTACCCACATCTACCATTTGGTTATTTGTTTGAAATAGTTCTAAATATTTCGAATTGTGAAAGAAACACATGGGTAGTTCAAATTTATTCTAAAGAAAGAGATCTTTGTACAGTCACATTCAAAATGTTTCAGAAATATATAAATGAATTCAAATATATTCAAATTTTCATTTTCAAATTTTTGAAAAATTTTAGAACTTTTGTTACTGGGGTATTCTTTTCTTCTAAATGATTCAAACGTATTAGAAACATGGAGAAAAAACCCACTCGGTGACGCGGAATGGACTCTATTTTGTTGCAAAATATTGATCAATTCTGAAATAACAGCAGGAAGATATTTGGTGTCAAGATTTGTATGTAGAAGCAACCTACACTGCATGGCATTCTACTATAATAGTATAAAGGATAGTCCATGTATGATAAGTCTCATAATCAGTAACTGTTCTTTGTAAAATATGGTATATCTACTATAATCTAGTACAAGAAGCTTGGCACTCATTTTTTATTTTATTTTCAACAATCATGATGTTTACAACATCAATTTACTATTCAAGTTACCTTTAAGCATGGAGGCTGAAATCTTACACAGGGATTTTTTTTTTACCTCTTTGGTAGTACCAAAGCTCACTACTGTATCTGTTTTGGAAAGGAAAGTCTGTGTGGAACATTCTCCATATGGTATTCTCCTTATGTCTCCCTATGGTCTATGTTCCAGGTCAATGTGTCACTAGTGGTATCTGATCACTGGTAAGGAGAGGACTGCATGCATTCTCAACTTGCAATGCAAGTCTCCAAATTTCTAATTTTACATAACTTGAACTTTTGCAAATTTGTAGTGTTACCCGCACTACAGTTTATTTGCCTTTTAGTTAAACTTCAGCAAATCAAGATGTTAAATAAAATGTTCCTAATCCTAGCGACACAATTTTACCATATGTTCTTTGCGACATCTTCAATGATGCTACTTTGGGCCAGTGCAGGTAGACATCAGAAATACCTGCACAGCTCCAATTTTACCTGCACCAAAAACTTGCATATACCCAGTACATGGACCAGTGCAGGTTAGGTGCAGGTAGACATCAGAAATACCTGCACAGCTCCAATTTACCTGCAAAAACTTGCATATACCCAGTACATGGACCAGTGCAGGTTAGGTGCAGGTAGACATCAGAAATACCTGCACAGCTCCAATTTTACCTGCACCAAAAACTTGCATATACCCAGTACATGGACCAGTGCAGGTTAGGTGCAGGTAGACATCAGAAATACCTGCACAGTTCCAGTTTTACCTGCACTAACCTGCATATACCCAGTACATGGACCAGTGCAGGTTAGGTGCATGTGGACATCAGAAATACCTGTGCAGCTCCAATTTTACCTGCACTAAAAACTGCATATATAGGTGGTATTTCCAGCCTGGACTTGTCTCTGTGTTTGTCAATCACATTATTCTCCTAGCCTGTATACCTTTACCACTTGTGGGAAGCCGGCGCTCCTTTTTACATGACCCTTACCCCTCTCTTTAAGCCACACAACTGGCAAACAGGCAGATACATGTACTTTTTGGCATCAGTAAAATGTCAGCATGGAACCATCTGTGATCTCTTTCTGCTTCGTCCATCTATCTGATGTACATGATCTTTACAAGATGTTACTATCAGAGATTAGAGGCCCTGCATTCTGACATGTACACACAAACAAGTACACTACATTCCTTTAGACTTGTTGCTAAAAGGGATGAGTACACTTTGTATTTACGTAGTCAGCACTGGGTAAACAAGACAACAAA